TTCGGAGGGGAGTAAAAATGCAGCTGCGGCCCCGGCTCGAGCTCCTCGGCCTGGTGGTTCTTCTGCACGCGGCGGCTTTGCAACCGGCCGCCTCTTGGCTGCAATAGGTTCGCTGATAATCTGTGCTAATAAGACTGAAATTAAAAGTAAACGCTTGGGTTTCAACATGGTTTCTTAAGCTCGGCAGTAGGAGCCAAGAGCGCTTTGAATCTGCTTGGGGCGGGCAACGCGGTGACCTTCAGCGAGCAAATCTCTTTCCTCCGCAGCTTCGCAGCCTTGCTCTGCGCACACATTTTCTGCGGAGCGGGGGGAAAAAGGAGTGTTTGTCTATGGATATAACCTGTTCTGAGGGACCGGCTTGAAGCCATCCAGCTCCCGGGTGCAGACGCGACTCGGGGCACCACCAAAACCAACAGGCAGAACTGCAGCCCTCCTAAACTCTCTCAACGCAGCTACTTAGGTGTGAGTCTACACGCTCCATATCGGCCAGAGACAACTGCGGCTGCAACGCATCCGAAGGTCACCGACCCAGGATCGGTCTGATTTTAGCTTTGCCAACGCGGGGGTGCACGTCAGAGCTGTGCTGAGGGTTAGGGAGTGGGGAGTTTATATAGCAAGACGTGGGAGGTTTTTTTTAGTTCTCAAAAAACTGTGGGAAATAGGAGGTGTTGCAGATGAATGAGATGGCACCTGCGTAGCATCCTGTTTGTTTTAATCAGCTCCTGGCTTGCTTTACCCACAGAGCCGGCCCAGATGGGCCCATATCACTTGCAGCTCTACGCCCTCGTTCGGTTCATCTTTTCGGTGGATTTAACGTTCAGCTCTGCGTCGTTATTTTGGAGTTGCTCTCCACAGGAAGCGCCACGATGGCTCCAGCTCAGCACACCATCCGGCCGGCAGGATGGTGTGCGCTAAGCTTACCGCGACGCTGCAGCTACTCCCTAGGAGACCACGAAGAAGTGTGGGCTCTCTGGGAGGCAGCTGGGAGACATCGCAAACCTGGCACTCCAGCAGACGGACCCTTGTTTCTGTGCCCGACCACAAAAAAGTGGCACAGCACCCCTTTCAAAATTGCAGCTGGCCACTGGGCTGAGGTTTGCTGCCGTTGGATTCATGCGCGAAGCCTGAGCAGAACTGAAGCCCAGCTGCTCACACAGGTAAGCCGAGAAAAGATGCTCTGCACCATGTTTCTGCCAGGCAAACGATGGGACAACCCTAGCTCTTTGCTACTGAGACACTGAACTCAAAACAGACAGCGGCTTTGCTCAAGACAGCCAGCCGAGCCATGAGACAGGAACTCTGGGAGCACTTCGTAGGGTTTTAGAGACTGCAAAAACTAGCAAGTCTTCAGGGGGGCCAGAAATGCCAAACTCACCACGTTTGCAGCTAAATCCCCAGATGAAGAGACAGAGAGATTTGGTTTGGCTGAAAAGGTGTCTGAAATGCTCCAGTACTCTGAATTAAGACCTCTACTGGATTTGGAACTGGTCAGCTATATACAGAGCAAAAGCAACTGCTTCAGCTACAGACCTGTGTGGAAGGATAGATCTCCTCCTTTCTGTGCTGCAGAGTACATGAAGGTTGAGAAAGCAGAATGACCAGTTGGATGGCTTGTGGCGCTGTCGCTTCCTGACCGCACCTATGCCCAGATTCACTCAAGCAGCAACGGAGCAAACTGCAGAAGAGTTTGATGGGGAGCATGCTTGACTTGCTTTAGCACGCTTCATTCTGCCTGAGTTTGAATTCGTTTTTGTTGTGACGTCTATGAATCAGCTGCTCCATTCAAGAGCTTTGTGTAGGAGGTAGAGGCAGATGTACTGGGGAGATACAAAAGTGTTTAAGGCCCACTCTGCACCCTGGTGCAGCACTTGTACTCTAAAAAGCAAGCAGCTCTGCCTAGTCCTCTGTGGGACACCTTCTGAGGAGCAAATTGGGGCTCAAGGTTGAGCAATCCCTCTTCACATCCAGCCATGTACAGCTCCATTTGGGAAGATGATGCATCCAGGAATAACTGGTCTTCTCAAGGAGATAGACCGAGCTAGGGGGGTGCTTGGTACTGCACCTCCACAGGCTACGTCTCTGTTTGCAAGTTGCGCCACGCTCTCAGAGATGGTGTGTATAGCTAATGAGCTGGTGCAGAAGAACTGTCACCTACACTGCATGTGTCAGGGAGGGCATCACCTTGGACTCGTGGATCCCATGGACTAGACACCCATTAAAGGCCAGGTCAAATGTGGGTGATCTCCCAGGCTTATCTTCCACTCCCTTCCACAGGGCACTCCTAATGGGAACTACAGCACTAACCCAGCTGCACCCTCAGCCCTCCAGGACGGCAGCAAGCTTGCCTAGAGGTTTGCCTTGTCGTGAGACCTGAAGTCCAGGCTTTTCTCCAGTTCATACCAGTTCCCTTCCCGTTCTCTTCGAGGTCAGGGTAGGCAATGAAACTGCCTCCAAATGAGGCACCCCTCAGTCTACAAGGGCTTTTTCACACAGGTTGGTGTGCAGATTCCCTCCAGCAAAAGCCTGCAGCATCGGGTTTTACTTAACCTGTAGAACCTGGAATTGGGGAGATGGAAGGTCTCTGGGAGCTGGTTAAGCTTGTTTAATGCTTGGATATGCTTTCCTTAATTATTTCACCCTGGATGGGTAACTAGCTTCCCAGTGCTGAATGGCTTAGTTCTCAGTTACAGAAGTGCAGCTGGCAGCAGGATTTGGCTCTATTGGTAGGTGTTTGCTTGAACTACTTAATTAATGTTTGCAGTAACTTGATATAATCATAATGTGCAGCACTTACATTGCATATTACAGGTCAGCATCCCAGCGGTGGGAATTCAGACGGCTCCTGCACTGGTGCTGCGGTCCCACTGTCATCTCTCCCTTGCAGAGACGGGGAGACATGCTGCAGGGAGGAGGCAGCACTGCAATCAGCCAGCTCTTGGGGCACTGCAGGCACAGGTATATGTCCTGATCTCCCCCCAGAGGCAAGGGTCTCTGGGTCCAGGTGGTCTGTAACACTTTCTCTTCCCTGTAGCAGTCTCAGGGAGATCCTGAGGGGGGAAAAAAACATTTGTTCTATGTGTGGGCAACTCCAGCCCGCCCAGCTCTGGGTACCGTGGTCTTCACTGACTTGGGTTTGCATCCTCTTTTATTTAGACAGTGCTGAGGCCCATGTTCTTTACAATAACCCCAGGCTATGTATTTATTCCCAATTTATTCAGCCTCCGGATGTTGCAGAGGTGGGTGTTCTTCATCAGCACTTTGCTTGTTTTCCTCAGATAACCTTGTGGATATATCTAGTACCATCTCAACCATCTGGCAGCTTCATGAGCTTCCTCATTTTGCTTGTGACATGCCTCCTTGCCCCAGGGAGGTGCTTAGGTAGCAGGATGAGGCCATCAACAGGGTACATGGTGCTGAGCTGGGCTGGATGCTCCCAGCTGAACTGGGCTCTTAGGTTTATCGGCCAACTTGATTCCTGATGCCGTGTCAATTATCCAAAGCCTGGGCTCAGTCCATGTTAATCCAGCTGAGGCTGTCTGGCTGACCTAGAAGCACCGTGACACCTGGCCATTTTGACCGACAGACCAGGAGCCCGTTCTCCAAAGCATCTGGCTTTCGGCTGCTAGAGTCCAGGCTGGATGAGTGCAGCTCTGCCTGGCCCCGTTGCCCACATCCTGCACCTCTCTTGTAGGTCCCTTCTAGATCCTTTTGGGTGGTCTTTCTCTCCCCTCCTTGATCAGCAGGTGCAGGATATTTGGGCCCAGGGTCCTGAAGTCATGCATGATGGTTTTCGGTTACTGAGTGACACTCAACGTGCTGACTTGTGTTTATCTAACTGGTGATTGGTTTCTAGTGGTTTTACTGTCTGTGTAACCCTCAGGATTAGAAAAGAAAACTCCAACGGCTGCCAGGGCTCTGTTTATCCTGTATGATCCCATCGCGGCCTCTCCTGCGGGAGATGCAGTAGCAGTAGGGAATGGCTGCTCCCCGCTTTCCTCGCCCCAACCCAGGCGTAAGCAAGGCATTTCAACAAGCTGCTCGCAGAAATGAGGGATGGGGTACCAGAGCACGTTTTCCTTCCTTGCTATCCAAACAGATACCGGTGTTTCTTTTCTCATCCTTCTGCTGAGGGAGCCTGCTGAGGGGTCACACTGAGCTGAGCTGGTGGCAGAGACCGGGATCCTGCTCGGCAGCTTGCCAACCTGCCTGGTGGGGTCTGTGGGACCAGTTCGCCCCCAAACCTGACATCAAGGAGAAGGACTACAGCCCTACGTGGAGCACCAGAGCCACTGCAGGAGACGTTTTGGCAGCAGTCATGTTTCAAATCAGTTATCCCACAAAGGTGCTCACACATTTCCAAATCTAGGCAAGTCTGAGAGAGTTTCTTCAGTCTGGTTCTATCCCATTTCCCTGGTTCAAAGCAGGGGGAGTGAATAATTCATCTCCTGCCCTCCAGTTCCCTCCCTGCTCCGGTTTCATC